TGATTGTTTAGAGGCACAATTTGAGCTCTAGTTTTGATATTAATTTATATATATTAAACTATTGAAGGAAATGTCTTCTGAAGATTAGTAATTGACAAAGATTTGAAATGTTGTTTTATAAGGGGAAAAAAAAAGAGTATTCAAAACTATAAGTTAATTGTAGTATAAATTAATTTATAAAATCATAATAAAACTTAAAACTAATAATAAAATCCTATAAAATAGATACTATTTTATTTATGGTGATCAATCAAATTATTAGATTGGCAAATTAGATCACAAACAGAGGTGAAATAAATGGTTACTAACTTTTTTACAAGAGTGCTTATGTGATTCATAAACTATATTTGCAAAATCATTATAAGTCCTCCAAAATGTCATTTAAAATCTAATCATCATCAAGGATAGCAAAAAAAGGTCAAATAAGAAAAAACCTTCATTATATGGTATTTTTTATTTGATTCGTAAAATACATATTAAGTTATAACCCGATTTGTCTTCCTTCTATAAACCAATTCAGTTTTAGTGTTTTTATACTGTATTATAGTATTTTTTTTATATTATTAAAAATACTATAATATAGTGTAAGAATATTATAAATATATTATTTTTTACAAAATTATAGATTTTTTTAATATTATTGAAAACACTATAACACGATGTAAAAATATTATAATTGGACCGATTCACAAGAAAAATTATTTTAAGTGTAGACAAAGAAAGAGCATAAATTTTAAAATGAGCACTTATTCGGAAGAAAAATATAAAAGAGATTTTTTTTTCTTTTTTGGATAATTCAAACGATTTTTTTCGACAATTCGCTCAAACAAAATTGTAGGATAAAATCGAGGCAAAGCATTCAAAACTTTGGACGGATGCTGTGGTGGCGCTCAAAATTGCACTGTGCTGCAGCGGCAGCAGCACGCAAGCCGAGACGAGCGAAGGAAATAGTCGAGTGGTACGATAGGAACACGAGCCGCTATCGCCTCTTTAGAAGACACACCGTCGTGGTTGCAGGCACCGGTCACCTCCACCACGTACTTACTCGGACCCAGCGGAAGCTCAAGCCAACAGATCATGAGATCCATCTCCAGGCTTCCCTTCAAATGGCAGCTCTACCACCCCGTACTGTAGCAGCGCAGGCACTGTACCTTCTCCTCCTCCGTCTTCTCGTGCGGTCCTCCGTCCGATGGCGGATTCTTAACAGGCTCTGAGAACTGCATGGTTGCACTGTTTTGGTGGCTGCACATGCACGACGACTCCTGCATGCTTTGCCATGGCAAGGCAGCAGCAGCAGCAGGAGCCACGAGGAGGAGGAGGGCGGTCAAAGAAGACTCCTGTGCATTGAAAAGCTTGCGCAGGGTCGAGAATAACGAACGACCATGACGCAGACAGTGGTCTTGTGATCCATCTCTCAGCTTCCTTTCACTGTGATCGGTCACAGTGATCACAGCATGGTGATGTGCGAGAGATAAAAAGAGAAGCGGAGGATGTGGACTCGGTAACATCCATTATTATAGCTCATCCACCTTGTCATGATCAAATTGAATTGGGCAATATTTATGGCCTCATGAAGACTTGATAGGTCTATGTTAATTGTAAACAAATATAATAAAATAATATGATCAAGTCATTAAAATATTTAAAGAATATTTTTCCTAGTCACATGCGGGTAGATAAATATCTTTCTAGGCACAACAAGTACAAGTTGAAATATATTATTTAATTTAAACTAGTAAAATGTATTTTTTCCCCTTAGTTCTCTATTTTCTAAATAAGTTCCTCTTCAATTAGGCATTACCTAATTTAAGCCACAATGGTCTTTCAACTCCTATGTGCTGATTATTTGTCTCACTCCATGATAAGATTTGTAATCTGTTGAGCAACTTTATGCTGTGATCGATGGATCAACACGACATGGTTTGATCCCGAGTAAGCAGAGACACCCATGTGGTTGCTCGAATTGGGGTGATCATCATCAAGTTGGGTCCAGGTTTTATCTCCAGGATCGATCAAACGTAGAGTAAGGAGTTTCTCTTCCTCCCTCGTTGAGTTGCTACTTCATCGTGAAGTTCTTGCACACAAGCAGAGGTCGAAAGAGGGATTTCTTGACTCGATCCCTTCGAAGCTCAAGTTAGTATTGAGTGTAGTTATGGGGAGTTGAGGTATTTGAAGTCTGACCCTTGACGCTTGTCAGGAGGTTGGATTTTATACCTGCAAACAAAAATCAATCGTACATGGTCTATTAATGGTCGTCGACTCCTCGGGCAGTCGACTCGTACCTTCCATGCAAGCGTCGACCGACCTACATGATCGGTGCTGTGCGACACCGTTTTGAGCTTTCCAAAGCGGCATTGTACTATGTGGCATTGTCTTGTACAGCCTCAGACAACACGGGAACAGGCGATCGTCTCATTTGAGTCCGAGGTATCGCATCGACGTATTGCACCATATCATCCTCGAGGCCCTGTGTTGGCATGAACGTGGCTGTTGATTATTGCCGTGGGGATGGTACTAAAATATGCCATATCATAATCGAACTATTTAACTTTATAATTTATACTGACGATAAACTTTTAGGCTAACATAAATTAAAATATATATTATTTACATTTGTGTTGATTATCCGTATCATTGGGTGATAACGAATAGAGATTAACATAAATTAAAATATTCGTATCATATCTATGAATTAACGATGAACTTTTAGGTTAACATAAATTAAAATAGAGATTATTTTTCGTATCCATTTGAACATAAAAATACATGTTTTTTAAAGATGGAAAAGGATTTTTGGACAAGAGCTCCTTTATATTATTAATTAAAAATCTTATTTACAAAATTAATGTGTATTTTATAAATTCAATCAATAATAGTATTTTGGATAATATAGTATAGATAAAAAAAGTATTGAATCTCAGATTTTGATGATGAAATCAATTGATGAGTTTGTGATCTAATTTGTATTTTGAGTGATGTAGGACTAGCTTCGATCATAGAGAGATAATTTGATTAAAGCAAAAGAATCAATGTTGGGCCAAAGTGGAACATGTCAGAAGATTAGACGTCGAACCGAATGATCAATCGATGTATCAGCAAAAGACTTTATGCCATGAGTTCGGGCATCGAGCCAAGAAGATAGGACATTGCGCCAAGGAGATCGGATGTTGCGGGAAGACAACATGTCGATTGAGCAATATGCCAAATGAGAGAACGATGCACCGAAGGGTCGAAAGAAGCGCTAGATGAAAGAAGCGCTAGATGAACCGATGACATGTCCGACAACATGTGATTAATGCTTTGTAATAATTATCTAGATCGAAATAGTTTTAGTTATAATTGGGTTAGTTTAGAATGTAATTAAGTTAACTCAATTTGGGGCATATTCAGCCCGAATTAGGGTTATTTTGGGTTAAGTAAAATGCTCATTCAATGACCTAAAAGTTGGGTCATGTGGTAGCACCATCAGTCCAAGCGGTGGTACCGCCCAATGTCAGGCAGTGATACCGCTAGTACCCTGAAATCCCAAGGATTCAAAATTTTGGCTCCAAATTTGAATCTACTTAGGGCCTATAAAAACCCTGCTCATCCCTGCTCGGTTTATACATGAACTGACAACATAAATTGGGGAAAATACAGTTGCAATATCGAGAGTTCCTCTCTTCTCCTCTAAAAGTATAATTTTTGTTTGAGGGAGGGTTAAGTGGTTGTAAAAATTATCTCCTAAACTCGTGAAAAGGAGAAAATGGTTGTAAGAAGGTATTTGATTTTCGTCCATTGAAGGAAGACCGTTAGTGTACGTCGGTGGCCTCAACGGAGGAGGAATCAGGAATTGACGTATATCACAATAACCAAACCAGTATATAATTGACGTGCCTCCCTTTCTCTACTTGTTTATTTATTTTATAACTACTTTACTTGGTCATTACTATTCCTGTAAATATTTTAAGTTTAAATGTCTTTCCAATATGATTTCATCGAATGAAATTATCAAATCGACGTAATTTTACGAAAACACTAATTCACTCCCCCCGCTGATTTCGATCCTAACAAAAATGACTATGAATCTAATTAAAAATATTATTTAGAAAATAAGCTTATTTTTATAAATAGAAGCGAATAATTAAAATTTAGATGTGGAATTATAAGAGAGTAACGAGAACAAATTATATCTAATATGGAATAGATAGAAAAGGATCATGGACAATAGCTCTTGCATAATTATTAATCTACAAATAAATTATTATTTATATTTTTTGGGAAATTGAATCTATTTTTTAAAAATTATTTCCAAATAGTTTATTTTAAAATTTTATGAGATGATTTTTCAAACATCACAAGAAATACATTATCTCCTAGTAATAAGAATTTTTCTTGATATAATAAAGATTGATCTATTCTTTGTAAATTTAATTTAATAATTATTTTTTTGTCCTTTTTTAAAGAAAATTATGAGATGATGATTTTTTCAAATATCACTAGAAATAGACAATCTCCTGACAATAATAACTTTTTCCTAATATAATATAGATCAAATGCTTCGTAACTTATTCGGTATCTCTAACTACAAACAAATAATTTTTTTTTATAAATATTAAATAATAAAGACAGGATTCAAACCTTCGATATTACAATAAAAAAATTACCAGTTAAGTTAGCTAACATATTTAAATATATTAAATAAAAATTTAAACTCTCATAAGTTGGACTGGGACACCATAATAATACAATCTTACGGGTAAGTAACTAAAGCTTCCTATAATAGTAGCGATCTTAATTGCTTGCCTCCTCTCCAAGCAACCGTCTCTTTACACAGTACCTGCGGGACATTTTAACGGGCCAACACCTTTGCCTACCGTGACAGGAACGCTAGCCTACGTGGGTCCCGGTTCATAGGAAGACGGGTATCGGGTCGGGGAAAGAAGAGACGGTGTCGCGATCTCTTCCATCTTCCACATAAGTATACGGGTTATGGGCGCCAGACACTGTCTCAGAGGGCCTCCACTATCAAAGCCCAACTGCCTCTCTCTCGCTCTCTCTCGACCTCGATCGGAGCCCTAAAGAGAAGAAAGCGATAAAGGTAGACGAGGAACAGATCGGAGAAGGAAGAAGAGCGAAAGTCGCACTCCACTTCGATTCTCCCTCCTGCCCTCTCTCTCGATCTCTCGGTACGTCCCTCTTTTCCCCGTCTCTCCCGATCAACCGATGGCGATCGGGTTTCGATTGGGGTTGGGGCTTTCCGCTTCGCTTCTCGTCGGGATCCTCGCGGTGGTTCTTGCGGCGGGCCGCGACGGCGTCGTGTTCTTGTCTCGTCGTGATTTCTTGTTTCTGATCCTTGGGGTGGGGGTTGTGAGCAGCGTGCTGCTTTATATGCTTCCGAGAAAAAGAGTGGTGGGAGCGGAGAACGAAGAGAACCAGGCGGCGGCGGACGAGGATCAGCTGAAGAAGACGAGGGGGGGCGACCTGATCTCTTCTTCTGCAGCGATGGAGGAGGAGAACAGCTGGGCGAACGGGATGGAGATCGATGCGGTTGGGAGCAAGCAGGCTGAGATCGACGAGGATCTGCACAGCCGGCAGCTGGCGGTGTACGGGCGAGAGACCATGCGCCGGCTCTTCGCGTCGAATGTTCTCGTCTCTGGCCTCCAGGGCCTTGGCGCCGAGATTGGTAATATTTTTATACAACGGTTCTTAATTCATGTCTAAATTCTTGAATTTATATTCTGTTTTTTTTTATGGATTTGGGTGTTTCTTGGAGTTGGGATGTAGATCTCAAGATCTGGTGGACCTCATTTTCTGATCGTTAATATTACATGGAACATAATATGCGAGAGTTTATCATTTCTTTTGGTTGCTGCCGTATTGCATATAGTTAACTACCGTGTAGTGTTCGTCACATTCATCCATCGAGAGTTTAGTGATTTGTTGTGTGATGCTGACTAAATGATTGTTAGTCGTGTTGTTAAGTGTCCTCAAATTCATTAATCATCAAATTAAATGGCAAAGATATACGAGAATATCATGTCAAGCTTTTTCAATTTGATCAGCTCTTGCTGCTTGCCATTAGTCAGAGTACATTCTCTTTTAGGTGCACCTTGTTCCAATATGATGCCAGGTTGTTGGACTTGGGTACGTACAATGGCAGGTTAAATTTATCCACTGATATGTGTGTAATCATGAAAGCCTGCATCAGCCAATTAATCATCTGGCTTCCCAATCTGTATTTATGTGCTGTGCAAATTGCGAGTGGTGTGCTTATCATGACATGAACTTTTGTCCGTGCAGCGAAGAATCTTGTTCTTGCAGGTGTCAAGTCTATCACCTTGCATGATGAAGGGAATGTAGAACTGTGGGACTTATCTGGCAATTTCTTTTTCTCTGAGGAGGATGTGGGTAAGAACAGAGCCCTTGCTTGTGTTATGAAGCTACAAGAGCTTAACAGTGCTGTTACAGTTTCTACCTTGAGCGGAAGTTTGTCTATTGAGCAGCTCTCTAATTTTCAGGTATGTTGCCCAGTAACCCGTGCTTCTGATGGTTTATTCCTTTGTTTTCAGTGGCCATCTACATTAAAGTGCAAATACTGCTATTCCTTTCACTTGCTATTGTTTATTTTTAATATCAGTGATGCCAAACAATATTATGAATGCTTTAGATGCATAAGTTTACTAAAATGCTTCTGATATAGTAGTCTTAAACAAGTTTTCTGACTATACATTGCTAAGTTGGACTACCTGTCAAGATTTAGTGTGAACATGAAGGACTATGTAAAAAAGCTTTCAATTGCTAGTCTTTTGATGTTAAATTTATTAGTATATTTTTTTAAGGCTTGCCCTCACTCACTTTTAGGTTGATGATGATAAGCTATCTTTCTAGGGTTGTGAAAATTTATCATTTACACTGTATGCATCTGATTTTTTACTCTATTAACTGATAATTTTGATAATTGATGAACTTTTCTCGCCCTTAGGTGCATCCTGATGTCATCTTTGATATTATATTATTGGTTTTCAATTGTGATATTCTTTTTAATATATACGTGATTGGTTTCTATGAGCTTATCAGGTGCATTTTGTAATTTGTATTTGATATTATTTATTGGTTTTCAATTGTGATTTTTTGGAAACTGCATGATTGGTTTCCATAAGCTTACAAAGTGCATTTTTAGTTTGGTGATATTTCATTGATTCTGCTAGTCATTCCTTATGGATATAAAGATACCTGATATTCTCTTTTCAATTCTGATGTCTTATCGGAGGTAAAATCTTAGATATTTTTCTTCACAAACAACTGGCTTTGATTTTAATCTATATTGCTAAATCATTCTATGTTTTATCCTTTTTAATTAATTTAGCTGGTTAGTAAGAAAACTTTTGCTAGCTCTTTTATTGCTTGTGAAGAGTCTAACACAATGATGAACATATCATTGTTTTAGTGATGAACAAGACAAATTATAGTAAGTCCTTTTATGACAACTTTGATGCAATTTTAAATAGATGATAATACAAGATATTTTAATTGAGAAAAGAGTTTGGTAGATGGATGGAAATGCTAATGGAATAAACAAATTACTGTAAGTTGTTTTAACAAAACTCCGGGGGAATTTTTAAAAGATGATAAGACAAGGTTTTCTTGTAGTAGGATAAAAGAATTTGGAAGATGGATGGGAACTTTGTTATACCGTATAATCTTTGATGAATACCAAAATTAGGCGCATGAAAAAAGAAAATTTTAGGACTCTAAGAGCAAGGTTGTAGATACAAGAGAGAGTTGGTCATTGTGTCGGAACATTTATTGTAAAAAGAGAAGGCTTTTATTATTGTGGCTCACTGTATGTATTTGGTGCCTCCTTATCCAACCTGGCTATATTGACTATGGTGCCCAACTTTTGTCATTCCCCGTATGGAAATTTAGTCATATGACAACTCCAAATCTAGGGAATTCTAGGGGACAATGCACCTGATGGAATAATATCTTTGATGTATTACCCTATTCTCAAGGGTTGGGGCCACTTTTTACCAGTGTAATTGTTTTATGCCCCAAACACTGACTTGAATAACCACTTATTTGTTACCTCCCAAGGTGCAGGAACTTCCATTCCAATCCTTCACAGTGGATTCTATCCGCAAAGACAATGTTTATTATGGATTGATTAAAGGAGGCCTCTGTGTCTACGAAGGATAAACATGTCTGACACTCTCGTAATGAGCATAATTTTAACAATATATTACATGTTTATTTTCAGTCAAGAAATTAGCTGTCGGTTTTGGTGGCAGTGTATGCATTTTCTTGCTATAGTTACTATAGGTCGTCAACTAGAGATCCAGTTGGTAATTGTGTAATTCACTAGTCTCTTTTCAGCAGCTCTTAAGCTGTGGTTAAATTATCTACATCTTTTTTATAATATGTAAAATTGAAGGTCAATCTTTTGAGTCACTATCTCCAACTGGCTGAACTAATGATCAAAGAAGGTTTTACTTTGCTTCCATATGATCCCTGTCAATTATGATTTACAGTGTTGAACAGCTCAAATCATATCAGTAGGCCTGTTTATAGCTAATCCTTTCCTTGGGTCAATTGTGACTTAGCTATAACACTCCTGGTGTCTTTAGGAAATTTTTTTTTCGGTGGGGGATTTTGTTTATCTTTTTTATCCTGAAGTGCCTACTTCTAAGTTTGTCACACTCTTGATTTCATATCCGATGCCACATCCCTTCTGGCTGTAATATGTAACTTTGATGTACCCATCCCTTGTGTTTAGCTAAAGATCTTTACAGGTCAAACTTTTTTATTGGAATTGATTACAAGCAAGGTTGATTATCACTACCAGCTTCCTCTTTGTTGGGATATGTTATTCCTCTTTTGGTATGAGCCATCCAATTTATTATAAGAATTAATTTTGCTGGTGAAATTTAAACTTCCACCCTTATTCATTTTTTTTGCTGAAATTAAAGCATCACTTTCAACACTCTGTGTTTTGAAGAAAATTATTCATTAAATGTATTAGGCATTTATGCTAGATGCAGTCTTGTGTGTAATTTATCAGATTAATGTGAATGCTAAGAAAAAGGAAATCTAAGAATATGTTTCTGTTATCATTCTAGGATATTGATGTCTCTAATCTAGTAATCCTAATGAAACATGACCTATGTTTGTGGTAAACTTGAGCTTGCTATGTTATTGAGCGTGCTAAGTAAGATTGATTCAAACACCATCTTTTCTTCAGTGATTCATTTTTGTAAATTTTTCGGACATTTTCATGTTTGTAACTTTTTGTACTTTACAGGCTGTTGTTTTTACTGATTTGAGTTTGGAAAAAGCGACCGAGTATGATGATTATTGTCATAATCACCAGCCTCCAATTTGCTTCATTAAATCTGAAATTCGAGGACTTTTTGGCAGTGTGTTCTGTGATTTTGGTCCAGAGTTTACTGTATTTGATGTCGATGGTGAAGATCCACATACTGGTATAATTGCATCCATCAGCAATGACAATCCAGCAATTGTATCCTGTGTCGATGATGAGCGGCTTGAGTTCCAGGATGGAGATCTTGTTGTCTTCTCCGAAGTCGAGGGGATGATTGAATTAAACGACGGAAAGCCCAGAAAAATTAAGAATGCGAGGCCATATTCATTCACTCTCGAAGAGGACACAACTCAGTTTGGTGTATACAAGAAAGGTGGTATAGTTAAACAGGTAAAAGAACCTAAAGTCCTTCGATTCAAGCCTCTAAGGGATGCTCTTAAAGATCCAGGTGACTTCCTTTTGAGTGACTTCTCCAAATTTGATCGTCCACCTCTGTTGCACTTGGCTTTTCAAGCCTTGGACAAGTTTAGGCATGATAAAGGACGTTTTCCGATTGCTGGATCAGAGGACGATGCTCAACAACTTATAGATTTTGCTGTCAATATCAATGAAAGCCTCGGTGATGGTAAGCTAGAAGATATTGACAAGAAAATTTTACAGCATTTTGCTTATGGTTCCCGGGCTGTTTTGAATCCTATGGCTGCAATGTTTGGTGGTATTGTTGGGCAAGAGGTTGTTAAGGCCTGTTCCGGAAAATTCCATCCACTTTTGCAGGTGAATATAATGTCTGTTAAGGCTTGTTCGATTAATTCATTGTCTTTAGGCTTCACAACCTAACATATGTTTTATGTGAATTTTGGCAGTTCTTTTACTTTGATTCACTTGAATCTCTCCCTGTCGAACCGTTGGAATCTGGTGACTTAAGGCCTTTAAATTGTCGGTATGATGCTCAAATCTCGGTGTTTGGATCCAAGCTTCAAAAGAAACTGGAAAAGGCCAGAGTATTTATTGTAGGTTCTGGTGCCCTGGGTTGCGAGTTCTTGAAGAATCTAGCATTAATGGGAGTTTCCTGCTGTCCGAGAGGGAAGCTTACTGTAACTGATGATGATGTCATTGAAAAGAGTAATCTTAGTCGCCAGTTTCTTTTCCGTGACTGGAATATTGGGCAAGCCAAATCCACTGTGGCTGCTGCTGCTGCAATGTCGATAAACCCGAGTCTCCATATTGAGGCTCTTCAGAACCGAGCAAGCCCAGAGACAGAAGATGTGTTTGATGATGCATTTTGGGAGAGTTTAGATGCAGTTATTAATGCACTGGATAATGTAACTGCCAGAATGTACATTGATGGTCGGTGTTTATACTTCCAGAAGCCACTTTTAGAATCTGGAACTTTAGGTGCCAAGTGTAACACACAGATGGTCATTCCTCACTTGACGGAGAATTATGGGGCCTCCAGAGATCCACCTGAGAAACAGGCACCTATGTGCACAGTTCACTCTTTTCCCCACAATATCGATCACTGTCTAACATGGGCCAGATCTGAGTTTGAGGGTTTGCTTGAGAAAACACCTAATGAAGTAAATACCTTTCTATCTAATCCAAGTGCATATGTTTCGTCAATGAGAAATGCAGGTGACGCTCAGGCTAGGGATCTTATTGAACATGTCCTTGAGTGCCTTGATAAGGATAGATGTGAGACATTCCAAGATTGTGTTCGCTGGGCACGGCTAAGGTGAGTCTGTTGTCCTTGATGTGTGAGATTTGTTACTATGCTTTTTCCTAATGGATGTCTGTTTCCACCTGTGTAATGCATATATATTTTCAATCTTTTTACCGCATTATTTTTTATGGGCTTAATATTCTATACTGTTTGCATCTCCTTAGTGTGACACCCTTATTGTCACATTTTCTGACAGCTAACAAGGCTGTGGACTCAGTTTGTTATCAGAGGGATGTGTTATTCTGAAACTTGGATTTGATGTTCACCCCTAGATATCTCACCTAATTTTGGTGTCTGATATCCTTGTAGCCCTTTGTACCTGCATATAATTAATATATTGTAATAAAAAAAATTCAATGTTTATACATGTATTGGTCCTAAAGTTCAATGCTAGGACCATACTGGTGCGCTGAAGTTCTATTTTACTTTATTTTATATTTCTGATGACTGATGTGACAATTTTTGTTCAAGCAGAATTAGGCATCTGATACTTTACTCAAAGACATTCATTTTTGTTTTGGTCATGCGACATATTTTCTTCTGTTTTTTCGTATGTTATTGAACTAAGACATTAATTCATGCCTCAGGTTTGAGGATTACTTCTCCAATCGTGTGAAGCAGTTAACTTTTACTTTCCCTGAGGATGCAGCCACCAGCACAGGTGCACCTTTCTGGTCTGCTCCTAAACGTTTTCCACAACCATTGCAATTATCATCTAGTGACCCCAGCCACCTTCAATTTGTCATGGCTGCTTCCCTTCTTAGAGCCGAGACATTTGGAATTCCTGTTCCTGAATGGGCCAAAAACTCAAAGAAGTTAGCTGATGCTGTTGATAAGGTATTAGTTCCTGACTTTCAGCCCAGGGCAGGTGTTAAAATTGTAACAGATGAGAACACTACTAGCCTGTCCGTTGATTCTATCGATGATGCAGCTGTTATTAATGACCTTATTCCAAAACTTGAAGAGTGTGCCAAGAGGCTGCCCCCAGGGTTTCGTATGAATCCTATTCAGTTTGAGAAGGTAAATGATTATCCTCTCCCATTTTTCAGTCATCTTCAAACTTTAAAGTTCTGCTTTAATCTTTTTGAATCCCACAATACATTTATTGATGAGTTCTGCTCTTGATGTGCTTGATTCCGCTTCCTTCTTTGTTGTGCCATATACCTTGACTATTGGCATTACTCTTATGCTCACTTTAGCCATTACTTTTGATTCTTGTCATATCTGTAGCTTATATAAGGTAAGTCTATGGATTTGCTTTCCTGTATGGGTTTCTTAAGATGACATGTTTCTGGAATTCAATATGCAGGATGATGACACAAACTACCATATGGATTTTATAGCTGGGCTAGCTAACATGCGCGCAAGAAACTATGGCATTCCAGAAGTTGATAAGCTGAAGGCAAAATTTATTGCTGGTAGGATCATCCCAGCAATTGCCACATCAACAGCCATGGCTACTGGTCTCGTGTGCCTGGAGCTTTACAAAGTGCTAGGTGGTGGACATAAGCTGGAGGACTACAGAAACACATTTGCCAACCTTGCACTCCCACTTTTCTCGATGGCCGAGCCGGTTCCTCCGAAGATGATGAAGCACCGAGACATGAGCTGGACAGTATGGGATCGCTGGATTGTCGAGGGTGACCTTACCCTAAGGGAACTGCTTCAATGGTTCAAGGACAAAGCACTAAGCGCTTACAGCATTTCTTGTGGTACTTCATTACTTTACAATAGCATGTTTCCCAAGCACAAGGATAGGATGGATAGGAAGGTGGTTGATCTGGTGAAGGAGGTCGCCAAGGTAGAAGTTCCCTCTTACAGGCGCCATGTGGATGTTGTGGTGGCCTGTGAGGACGAGGAGGATGGCAGTGACGTAGATATCCCACTGATATCAATTTACTTCCGGTAGTCTAGCTTGAGATTAGAAGAAACACAATTGAAGACTTAAAATATTGTCTGTCTAGCTATTATATCTTCCCAAAACGGGTGGTTGTGAAGTTACTTGGCTTTACCACTGTATTGGAAGCAAAAGCCTGAGACTGTCTCCACTGTATTTTCTGTTGGTTTATCTTTCCATAACTAGTTCTGAAGAACATATAAGCATGGTGGATAGAATTAAGTGATCCATCTGTTGCAGACATGTACATGTCACTCAGATGCTCCAGCATGCTGACTGGTGTTACAATAACCTCAAACCTCATAGCTCTCATGCAGCTGCAGGTGTCGCTGTATTTCCTTCCTTTTTTTTTGAAATTTTGTGTTCAATATGATGTTATATCACTGTTGCACATGTCAGGTTGGTTATATTAGGTCCTTTTTAAAGATTGATTAATACTCCTGAGCAATTTACCTGGGGATATGATCTTTATTTTAATTTAAGCTTCCTATTTCTCTAACATGGATGGCACTGTTTTCTCATGTGGGATATTAGATTCCTTGACCTACATGCAATTATGAGGTTTTGCTTCTGATGTAAAGGTTAATGGCCTGCTTTATTCTGGTTTTTTCTTTAACTGGTAAACAGGATGAAATATGAATGTTTTGTGATCACTGATAGGATCTCTGTTCAGCCAGTATGTTGGACGATGCCACATTCGGACTTAATGGAGTGCGGGAACGAGATCGATCATGAGTATGTCAAGGTACGCGCATGATATATAATCAATCAATCTAGAACATAAATATTTGGACTAGTAATATGCAAAAATAAAATACCTTTTAGTTATTTACTCGCAGTTGTCTTGATTTCTGGAGTTACCGCAAAAACTTGATCGAGTTTTCAACTCTCGACTCATTTGATGTGAATAATAGTGTCTGGTTGGTCGCCATTCAAGAATTTTTCATTTAGGTAGTTTGTATCAAGATATGTCGTGTTTCAGCGATAGCATGTTGGAGCTAAAGTCTAAAATATTGAATAGTAAGTGTTACTGTTAAAAGAGTATTTTAGTAGTCACAAAACTGATATCATCTGATGCAATTTGTAATGGCTCAATGGATTGATTTAAATCCAGATAAGGCAAAAGGATAAGCTAAACGAATGGTGAGAACAAAAGGGTCACAAAATGATCAATTTCTTGTTTATGTTTTTTATCAAACACAGAAGAAGAAACAAATATGCACCATTCCCTCAGGTCGAGAAGACACACTTATTTCCATCTCAATAATGGCGATCTTCTTCTTTCGATCTTCTTCTTTCAACAGGAGATTCCCCAACTCACACGAAGGTCATGAAATATTAAGCTTAGGTAGCATGCGGAGGAACTTATGGGCCATCTCATGGGAGGCAAGGACTTGACTGATACCTAACTCCGTACGATGCCATAAAAATAAATGGTCGGCAAGGGTTTACAAAAGAGATGTACTCTCTATCTTGTGGATGAAATTGATGATGCATGTGGACGCTCGTCACATCTCGCACAGCAAGTCATGATATAAAACCTACAAGAGGACAGTCATCAGATTATACATGGATGGTCTCTTGTGAATCTAAAGCACGGAGACACCATACTTGGTCAAGGGATTTTTCGCAGCATGACATGGATGTATGGATGACGAGGCATGGGTATCACAGGGTTCTTGCATGGTCCACATCACGAAGAAAGAAGTTTCTGATGGTGGTTGTTGACCTGTGCATGTTGCCTCATGCATTTAAAATCCTCACATGGCCGCCACAGCAACCGGTGGCTCTCAAAACACCCTCTTGCACTTCTATTGGTTGGTGTCCATCCAGTACACGCCCGATAGATCGACCTCCTCTGCTGACGTGAAGGTAAGCCACGTAATACATGGCTTCGTCATGCATTACCTTATCATTTTGTGTTAAGCTGTTGTTGCCAGATGCACTAAATAAGACACCGAGGATTAATTAGCACGCTGGTAGTATGCTTCATTTTGAAGCACACCAAAGAACAAAGCGTAACCCGAGTGATGGCAGAAGAACATGACAACAAATCAATACTCGAAGCATTATTATTTTAAGATGTAACACCTCACATAATGTACTTCCCTCAGTTCATCAACCAAACTTAAAACAAAAGGTGTCAATGATCGAAATTCTCGTCACAAGATCGGTATTCAAATGATGAGAGGCTTCGATCGAATGACATACGAGTCGAGTGTATACATCCTAATTCGACGATCAAATTAGGATAATTAATTACAAATATAAATCCTTTTTATAAACGATTAGCATAACCATCGAACGTTCTTTGGATACGAAGGGTTACCCGAATGCATCATAGCCAATGCGCTCCGTAGATAACACGTCAGGCTAAAGCAATAGTCAACTAGATATCGAGCTGACGGGGACGATCGAGTCCTCGAAGGATGAGGACGAAGAGAACAGATGGAGTGCCTGTGACCACCACTCTCAGCAACCTTTGCAGACGCATATGAGGGGGGATCAAATGTCGTCAACGATCACAATCGTTTAAAGAGCTGCAGCTCTAAACGACAACAAGAAGCCATCTGGTGGAAAGCACTCTTTCGTCCAAGTGAAGACAGCCGCCATCTTTGACAGTCTACGATGTAGCTGATTGCTTCTCTACGCTCTTAAGACCTTTGCACGCTTTATTACGCCAACCCTCAATTAAGAGAGGCGTGGAAATTGAATAGTTCCCGTTTAGATGGAAACAAGCATCTCGATTTCTACTATGCGTACGTTGCGAAGACGACTAACTTCAACCAACAGCTACGGCTGCGGCTACAATCAAGCGCGTCGTCTACATCATATTTCAATTAGTGGTATTATATCTCATGCACCGGTCACGTTGGATACATATCATCATTGGATAATTGTCAATGTATGAATCACAAAGTCGGTCGAGAAAACAGATACGTGAAAGACAATAACAAATAATGCCTTACTATCAATTTGATCCATAATGACTCTTTTTTTTTTTCCTGAATTTTATTATCGTTCGAAGTTGGTAAAGAGACGTATGGGTGAACCCAAAAATCTTGATTGTTCAATTTTTGTTAGGATGATTCTTGCAAAACTTGTATCGTAAGTGAATCGAATAAGATCTCCCGAAGAAGATCGAAAAAAGTTCACGTACTTGGATGCCCTCCTCTCTCGATGTTCATTCTATAACCATCATCGGCGTACTAATACAAAAATAATCATTCAAATGTCATGTCTTTGGCATGTTAGCATTTTCTAGTTGATCGGGTTTCATATGTCGAGTCTTGATTGATCGTGAATAATTATCGTACCACAATATATTCACCGTGTGTGTATGGATAACAAATATTGAATAATCTCATATGAATTTTGAACGAATAGTGCTGATAAATGAGGTGTAAGATCAAGATTCAGTTTTGAATGTTGCCAAAAAAGATTAAAAGAAAATGCATGAACATAATTGGTTTACCAAACTAAGCCAAGGTTTGGACAATCACATATACATAATTATCATTGTAGCATGCATATATTAAGCATCAATATGATACATTTGGTGAAAACTATAGCCATAGAGAGTATGACATGTTGAGAGATAAAATATGATGACAAATCTAGCAAAGAATCTTGATCAAGCTCTAATTATTAATTAATCTAATTTCCTAGATTAAAAAGAAGGCAGATCACCAATTCGGCTTTGTCTTGTCACCTATAATGAGATTGTTCATTGATTGATGGCCCTACGAGAGTTGCAGACAAAGTACAGCTTAGCTCGAGGTTAGGTCACATGAGAAGATTAAGTGAAGCAAATAGACACCCTCGGTTCTTGAAGAACGCATATGACTATCCAAGCTTTAGTGAGTTTATTATTGACATCATATCATGCTATTTGCAACGAGTGTAGAGAGAGAAAGCATGGAGTTTTAAGCCATCACTTGATTAGCAAACATGTGTTTATATGTTAATGCAATCTTTAAGTTGTGAATTAAATCAATTTTCCAATCCACATTAGTGTAAGATTATTATTTGATCGTTTTTAATCTTCATTATGCATAGAGAGAGAGAGAGAGAGAGAGAGAGAGAGAGAGAGAGAGAAGGAGAGAGAGAGAGGAGGGGTGGGTCATTATACATGGCGGCAAGGAGATAGATAGAACTCCGTGATTCGCGACGAGAGGTGTGCGCTGTGTCTTGAGGTTGGGGTCGGCGTCGCCGACAGCTCACATCAAAAGCAAGTCAGTAACGTGATGTTACGTCCAAACACCTTCATGATCTCCACCCACCGCTTCCTTCCTTCCCTCCACTGTTCCCCTCTCGATGACCTCACCAACACGACCACCATGCATGGCCACTGCCAACACCCACCTGACTCTTGAAATGCTTGTGTCGATGCACATCCATGCATGACATGACAGTGAGAGAGAGAGAGAGAGAGAGAGAGAGAGAGAGGAGGGAGG